ATGAGATAACGTTCTTCAAACATTGCAAATACAATAGTTCAGCATGAAGAAAATGAATAAAATTAAAATTAAAATCCTCTTTCGACAACGGCACTGAACGGCTGTAATAAAATCAGTTGTCAGCGGAAACTGGTGATGTAAGATAAAATGTCAAACGATAACAACCTTCTCCAATGCTTTCCTCTGAATCCAGAAATTGGACTGAATTCGCATAATAAGAAACTGAATCTTTGACAGTCATTTGCTCTGCTTAAATTTTTACCAGGATTAAATTCTGTCATGGATACAATAAGAATCGAGCTGATTACATTTATTTTCATTGCTGCTGGCATAATTATACCTGAGATTTTTTAAGGATTAATGTTACGTATTAACATTTCTATTACGATTGTTTTATCTTGCATCGTATTGTCAATTTCACTGATTGAATTCTTCATATAAAAGATTGAGGCCGTTACAGGATGCTACTGAACATCGTTACGTCTGAATAGTGTTAGCCATGTGAATTGGGGTTTCTATCGAGGTCTTAGTAGAGGAGCGATTCCGCGACTTTTTTGTCGAGCTTCCATCTGCCGGACGAGTTCATCCCCATGCAAACACTAACAGCCTTTTGGTCGAGGTCCTTCCCCTGCGCTTCCGAGGCCAAAAACTGCTCCTCGATGAATGACAACTCTTAATATCAGATGCCGTGACTTATCGTGACTTACCACTGCCAATATCTGCTTCGGTTTGACTTGATTTCCGCCTACGTACGTCTTTAGTTAAACGTTTTTTATCCCATTCCAATGAAAATGAATAAGTTGTTCTAGAATGAATGAACATCTAACTTTAATATGACACATCTTTGGTAGAGATGCAATTTTTGAGGCGTAAGGAAATCGAATTCTTGAGTTGCTGAGATTGAGATCAATTCCGAGTTATTGAGATCAATCATGACAAAATCACTCATTTCAGAGAACACACTCGGATACTAATATTCATGAATTCATAAGAAATAAATAAACCCAATGTGCCTCTAGACTTGAACAAAAATCGTGTAAGCTAGCTCACTGAAGTCTGAGTTCACACAAATTAGTAGAGGAAGTTAACGCTTGAATGTTCAAGATGCGCAATTTGCCCCGCCGTTTGACTCGTATCAGTCTTTTCCGGCACTGCTAACAAACGAAAGAGGTCTCATCGCGATTCCCATTGAACATCAACTGATCATATTCTCAATACGTAGGGAAACATTTCATGCAAGTAAAACTAAATTGGCCGATCACATTGTTTTGTTTCATGTCTGCGCATTGTTACGTTCAACAATGGCAAGAGCCATTCAATTTTATTATCGTTCGATAAGATTTACATATAGAAATTCATCTGCAAGCGAACAACAAAGCAAATCAACCGAATTCGCATTGCGATAGAACAGTTGCCGGGTTACTAACAATAAGAGAAAACATAAAAGCGAGTGGAAAATAAATATCTGAAACAAAAGAACCGTTCCACCTTCCAGATGACGGAACCGTAACAGCAATACTGAACGCGACAAGACGATTTCCAGTGTCGCTCATCGTAGGAACGCCACCAAGAGATACTTGGGACATTCCCTTCTTAAGTCAACCAATAACAGCCCTACAAAATTCTTAACGACGACCACCTTTTGCGGCCCTTATGACAAAACAATGAATACGCGATTAGACCACAAAGACTATTAAAATGTTTACAAATGTATTTACAAATTTCGAGAAAATTTACGATGCTAAACTTAACATTTTCCTTCCATTCATAAAAAGTTTTGGCATAAGTAAACAAATTAATACAAAAACAAAAAATCATCATTACAGGGACACATGAAATTTGATCAAACCAACTCAAATTCACACAGACTAAGAATTTCAAACAAGTCTAAGTTTGCCCGTATAATATGTAGCACAGCTACGATAGCTGTCTGTCAATTCATCAGTTCTCATATAGGTACTGATCAAAGTAAACTTCAGCAGAAAAAGAACCCAAAAGATTATGCAACATATCAAACCCATAACAAATTGTACATTCAGTGCAACAAGAATAACACAATAACATATTACGCAATGCATAATATGAAAACATGAACAATACCACCGACACCTCAGGTGTTCGATGAGATGAACAGCTCGAAATTGTCCAGGACACAAATAAATAGTACCATCGACAAATGATAAATGCCAAAAACATCGTTTAAAACAATCTCTCGAAAGTAGACGTTCACGATAAGAACAAAAAAGCGAACAATTTTGGCCAAGTCAACGAATAAGTTAAAAAAATTAGGAAAGAAAAACACACATAATAAGCACAATTCTTAACGCATCAAACTGCATCAATATCACAAAGCTTTCCGGTAAGTCACATTAACACATTTCGTTAAAGTTGAATAAATAAATAATTTTGTCGCTTCGAAACTTCGATTTTTTCGCAGCAATCACTTACAATTGCCTGCCAGTGGCATTTCTGCAACAAAAAAGACACATCATATGAATAAAGACATGTGCATTTGATAACTAAAAATATTTTCATTATGCCAATCTCAAAAATAACTTTCACCTATTAATCTGGCTCTACGGACTCGATATGAATAAAAAATCTCTGCAATATTATCACAAATAACGCAGTTGATTCAAGTCGATTTACTGACCCGACCAACAACCTCACTCAAATGATGTATCCCATCTCCTTCACATTCATCACATATTCACTTTCCAAACCCACGATTATCATTCCGTACTCCTCTTATGCTAACTTCACTCGAATTCCAATTACTCTTATCGATTCGTTTTTTTTCCTACAGGGTGATAACCAAATTTCACAAATGAAGAATCTAAGCTTGGTAAATCTTACAACATTTGTGCTTAATAAAAATCAACCATGTCTTACCTCTATTATGAAACAACGCTTTCCAGCTATCCAATTCAATTGTTCAATTGCTATTATTTCGGTTGTCGCCAACATTCTGATTATCTCCAGCATCCATCTCATTCACCTCTGCATTCGCTAAATCGTTTGCTCGATCGTCGTTGTTTTCTTGGATGTTTGCGAGCATCGCTTGAGATGGAGCCACTGAACTGGTCGATGGCGCATTTGTAGACGACGACGATGATGTGGACACTATGTCGAACGGTGAATGCGATGCACGTTGAGCTGGGCATTCAAAGTGTACACAGTGAAACACTTCATTCGCTGAAATCCACAAAAACCAAATGGATTGAATCACACTCGATAAATTCATGCAATATTGACACTACTTATAGAATAACAAACCTGAATTATGCGTTCCAACAATGCGAATAAACACCACTGGAAGACGTTCGAATCGTAAAATCTGCCATGCCCTGGAAAATTAAGATATAAGATACAATAACCAAAAACGCAAATGNAAAAAAAATTCCCGTAGTTTTTCAAAAAAAAAACAACAAAACAACAACTGCCTCCTCGAGAACACACTTACTTGCACTGATTCTGTGTTCGATCAGCCACTCGTGTCCACGACACTTGATCACAGGACACTTCCACATAATACGAATAGTGTCGATCGTCACAGTCCCACAGTAGCAATCTACACACAATAATTTCATTTGATGACAACACGGACGATACAATCGATGAAAATGATAAGACCAACCTCATTGAATCAATAAGATATGGCTGCGGTAACTGCACCACAATCGCTCCAGATCCTAACTGATGACATGTGTAACCATTGTCCCAATCATAATTACTCGTTTCACCATTCAGCAAAGCATTTCGACTCCTCGATACGCCTTCGATGACAGTTGCGTTGTTCGATATTGTTGCCACATTGGCTGTTGGAACTGAAATCAAGACATACCGAGTTTCTGAAATGAAATATTTCGAAGTACTTGCAAGAGCCACTTGCAATCCACTGCAGCAGTTTCCAGTGCTAATGCTGCTCACGACTACACTTACTACTATGTGATCATCCAAAAAAAANAAAAAAAACTCAGATAACCTCAACAAACTATAAAATAAAATAAAAGAATATATAAGGATGCAATGAATGAGGAAATTACCCAGTAGGGTTGTTGTTGGATCCACATTAAACGGCTCCGTACTATACATCGCTTCCATATTGACCAAATGGAACGAGCTGTTCACCGAGTTATGCGTACCAACGATACGTACGAATCTGAAATTAATCACTGCTTTATGTGCAAAGAATATTGCATTCGTGCAATAGAACTGAAAATATCTCTAGAGAGAAAATTTATTCTACAAACATACGGGATCTACACAATGGATAAATGCATCAAAGACAAAACGGAGGGGTGAAAGTAAAAGGTAACACACGATGACTTGTCTACCGCAACTAATTCCTTAAGCATAAGTCAAGTGCCATGGCTCTTTTCACTTCCTTTATCCAATAAAAAATTATAAGACAATGCTAGAAAATAATCGACCAGAAATGAAAAATACTAACTTAACAACCCTCGGCGAGAAATAAAGATGTTGTTTGGAACGACACAAATATTTCGTATGATCAATAACCCTGACCCAATCCTCCTTGTCCATACTCACCTCAAAACATCAACTGTAATCATTATTTTCAATGTAACCAACACTAACAATAATGCCATTTATTACTGCTGATACATCACCAAAAAGGTTGTAACATAATCATTAATGTTACGTTATAATAACCACGACATTATCTCACTATCACTATCCTCATAGCACTAAAATAGTCATATTATATCATAAATTGATAAATTCCAATGACAATAGTAGTCACTCCTCATAGCAATAGTCATTCTCTTTGTCGCAACAATATTATAATATTTTCCACCACAACAATGGTCATCTAATCTCACTCTCTGATACATAATCAATGACAATCATCGAATTTTTACGTAAGACTTTTGATGAGGAAAGAACAGGGCTAACCTCGACATAGTAATGATAGGAACGTTGATCACGATCCCATAGCAACAATCTTATGTGATTAATTATGAATGGGCGACCGAACTGAAACAACAACACATCGCTGATTACACTGTAAACAGTTCTACTTGACTACAAAATTCCAAAAATATTCTCAGCTATACCTCAACGATAATTCCTGGTGTTCGTTCAGAGATGACATGCGTTGTGAAACCTCGTTCCATATCATAGCGATGCCCGTCGCCACTCAACAATGCATTTGCGCCTTCACCTGTCAG